GGCCATTGATACAATGTCTAGGTATAGCTTCCGGAATGGAGCCGTGTCTTGAATCAGCGATATGCCGACGTTTCGCAAACGTCCAGCTGATCAATTAAAATACGCTGATTGGCTGGATTCAAGCCTCGTCCCCTACTCCCTAAACACCATCTACACAAAGGGGGGGAGGGGGGCATATAAGGACTACCTTTACCCAAGGGAGCTCAGTATCAGAGTTCTCAGCCCTGATGATGCAAACTGCAACGTTTGCGAAACGTCGGCATATCGCTGATTCAAGACACGGCTCCATTCCGGAAGCTATACCTAGACATTGTATAGTATTGTATTTTTCTTGTTTTTTATTTAGCTATAACCAAATAAAATATAATTTATTTTATATTTTTATATTTTATAAGTAAATTTATAATATAATACTTTGTAAAAACAGTTTTGCTAATTTATAAAATTATCCTAATATATTTTGTATTTTGTTCGAATCAATAAAACAATTTTATGTAATTTTTTGTGTAGCGTTAATATTGAGTGCATTTCCATACACGTTTCCCATAAAACTAACTTATATCTCTATAATGTTGTGACGATATATTGTCGGGAAATTAAAATATTTTTGAGATATCTAAATTAAACCATGGATATGTAGAAGATATTTATGGAATATAATAATGTCTGCTGTTGCAAAAACATAGAGATATTACTAGTTTATCGGTAGATATTTGTAAAATATTATGAATATATCTTCTACCGATAATTATTTATAAAGATATCTTCATAATATCCTACAAATATCAGCCGATAAACTATTAATATCTCTATGCTTTCGCAAGGGCGTACATTAGTAAATTCTACAAATATCCTCTACATATTCATGGCTTAATTTAGATATCTCAATAATATTCTGATTTCCCGACAAGTTATCCTCATGACATTATAGAGATCCACGTTTGCTGTGTGGGTCCTAACTATCTTTTTACTGTGCCATTATAGTTCCAAATATCATACATTTTTCTCTCAGTGTACGTTCGTTAATCAATTCTTACACGATCTTTTGTTTGGGTTTGGGGATAACTGATAACTTAAGACTCTCAGTAAAAATTAAAATATATATAATTGTCATAATATATAATCACTCTTACAAATAGCCGGTTCATTTTTTATTTGCTTTATGCCACTGTCTGTTTCTCTCGTTCCTTTTCTCTATCTAACGAAATAGCCGAACTCTCTCTCTCTCTCCCCTCCCCCCTCTCTCTGTCTCTGTCTGCTTTATTACACTCTCTCTCTATCTCTGCTATTTCGTGTCAGCCTTTACTTGTCCGTTGCCGGAAGATGCCCCTCGAAAGCGTCAAGAGTCACTATTTATTTTGTTTTTTCTCTATATTTTTTATGTTCGATTACAAGGAATTATGCTCTCTTTTTTGACAGATATTGTTTACTGAAAAATATTTTATTTAGAATCTTACATATGTACGCAGACAAAGCATATATGTATGCCCTATTGCAGAGCTCAAGGCTGGCTCCTATGCTTAAAAGTAAAGAAAAAAGAGAATTCATGAAAATATATATGAAAATATATATAAAAATATTATTTTATTACTTGTTATTCTTCGTACATAGTATACAACCCTAATAGCACAGATATCCAGGGGACATCCAGAGAACATCCTAAAGAAGTCCTGAGGACATTTCTTCGTCCTCAAGAGATCTTGTGCTGTCTGGGTAACACACAGAAAAAATGTTACTATTAGACATAAATGATATTTGATAAAATAGTTGATGTTGTAATGAAAAACAGCAGTGAGTCGACGGAAAATATTTTAAATTTACACTTACAAATATGGCTTTTTTCTTTATCCACTCTTTTTCTCCTGTTTTTTTATATATCTAAAATAATATCGCAAAAATTTATTTTCCAATAAAAGAAAAATTTGAAAGCAAAGGTATACAAAATAATTAGCAAGAGCTCAACGAACAATTCGAATGTTTATTGGAAAGTTCTTTTTTTAATGAAAAGTTGCGAACTGAAAATTCAAGTAACAAAGGATAATTGAACTTTTTAAATATTTATGTATATAGTTATATATATTTATGTATATAGTTGTTATTCCTATTTTACAATGATTTTATAAGATTCTTTAGCTAAATCACAAATATTCTCTCTTTCTTTGTACAATACAATAATATAATTATTAAAAATATTAGCCCTTAGGGCTATCGCACACAAATTGACATAACTGCATATGCATAGCATAAGACCGCATGTACCAATGAGCATCGAGTATTAAGTCGCCATATTGGTGTTGAATAGCCCTAAGGGCTATCGCACACAAATTGACATAACTGCATATGCATAGCATAAGATCGTATGGACCAATGAACATCGAATATTAGGGCCATCACACACAAAATTACATAGACGCATATGCATAGCATAAGATCATATAGACCAATGAGCATTGAATATTAAGTCGCCATATTGATGATTGATACTTAATATTCGATGCTCATTGGTCCATACTATCTTATGCTATGCATATGCGCTATGTAATTTTGTGTGTGATTTACTAACACAAGTTCTTTTGCTTATGCAAAGTATTCTTTGGTATTTTCCCATATATTCCTAGAATATCGGAGTCTCTTTTGCAAATTTTCTTGTGCTTGTGTTTGAGTAGACTGTTAGTTAATCCAGAAGCATGTTCCTCCTGTTTTATCTTCTTCTCATCCATTTTTTGGTATATCTTCAACTTCTTGTAATTTAGCATTCTATTTTTAGGTGCAACTGCACCCAAGCTGATAGAGAGTTCAACTTTTGTTTTTCTTGCTTTTCCTTTTTCAAAACCAGTCATACCTAACTTAATAATATCATATCGTGCTTTTTTCATTACTTTTTTTTGTTCCTTTCTTAATTCAGTTGAATCACTTTTTATTACAGAATTAATCAGATCATTCTTCTGTAACTTTTGCGTATTAACCAAACTATCTATTAATTTTGTTTTCTTCTTTGGGTTCTCATAACTCACGGAAACATAGTTTCTCTTGATGTGAGAAGCACGTGTTGATACAAAGTCTTCCATACTTTTATATACTAAAAACAGATTGTAATTAGAATAAGTTAGTTTGTGTAGATATTGTATGTATAATAAATTATGTAAAACTTTAGAAAATGTTTAAAATGTCTGGAAGCTATATGATATAAAGTTATCTTTTAAAAACTTTGAAGTAAATTAAAAAAAGGACTAATTCAGTTCACACACATTACCTTCAATATTGATACAATAATATTCAATCGACACGTTTCTTAGGAACAAACAACTTTTCTACTTAGAAAAATCGTTGGTCTTCACAGTAAAGCGAAATATTAATTAACAAAGTTGATCACTATTAAGGTTAGCGAAACTATCTCTCCGACACTGGAATATAGCTCTATACTAGAATAAACACTCTTTCTTTATGGTATGCGAGACTAAGGGCTATCGCACACAAAAATTGACATAACTGCATATGCATAGCATAAGACCGTATGTACCAATGAGCATCGAGTATTAAGTCGCCATCTTGGTGTTCGATGCTTAAGGGCTATCGCACACAAAATTACATAGCGCATATGCATAGCATAAGACCGTATGTGCCAATGAGCATCGAGTATTAAGTCGCCATCTTGGTGTTCGATGCTTAAGGGCTATCGCACACAAAATTACATAGCGCATATGCATAGCATAAGATCATATAGACCAATGAGCATTGAATATTAAGTCGCCATATTGACGATTGATACTTAATATTCGATGCTCATTGGTCCATACTATCTTATACTATGCATATGCGCTATGTAATTTTGTGTGCGATAGCCCTTAAGCATCGAACACCAATATGGCGACTTAATACTCGATGCTCATTGGTACATACGGTCTTATGCTATGCATATGCAGTTATGTCAATTTGTGTGCGATAGCCCTTAAGGCCATCACACACAAAATTACATAGACGCATATGCATAGCATAAGACCGTATGTACCAATGAGCATCGAGTATTAAGTCGCCATATTGGTGTTGAATAGCCCTTAGGGTGCCGTCCCATTGAGCACGGATCGGAACGCCGAATCGGATTTCTTACTATAATGAGCGTTCCGTTCTTTAGTTCCGTTCCGTTTCCTCTACCAGTCCCATGTAGCAAAGTTT